TTTAATCAAATTGCACGTATTCAATCAGCGTTGAGACTCGTCAGAGCGTATTCGATCTTCCGAGATCGGTATTTTTTTTTTATAGAAAGTATAAAAGCTCGACAATAATTCGATTTAGTCTTGGCACTATATGTGCGAACCCTAAACCTAATTCATTCAGTGGGTATCGACAGCTCAGTCTCAACAAACAGTAAACAAACAGTGTGCACTAAATAATTTGTGTCAAATGGGTGAATGCCAATTTTATTAGCAGAATGTTTTCTAGCAGTAAATTATCTACATATGGATCAGGACTTGACGGCAGCATCCGAGGCAGATCTCGGGTGTAAGATCGGGGTAAACATTATCAGATCATTCGCTTGTCCTGAGAGACTGTTGGCTGTAATGCGCGTTCCTGCACGTAAAAAGAAGTTAAATTTTTTCGAACTTCCTGTTGGATTTCCTATACTGCTTACTTTGCTTTTTACTTATACTACTTTATTTACTTTTGTAATGTTTGTTTTCACATGTTCGGTATTTGCACATCACATGGGAATAGGCTAATGATTGAAACGACGATATCGGACAGAACCGGCAAGGAAACAGATACTTGCCGCTTTTGTTACATTATTATCGTATGTGGTGTCGAAAAAAATGATGAGTTGATACTCAAATCGAACATGCTGCATCTAAAATTCATCAAAACAATATGCCACATTAGGTCACACCCGGACAAAAGAAAAGTTAGTTTTAGAAAAAGGGCCGAATCCACTTGGGAAATTAATGATGGCCGCTTTTGCACTGATAGACATAATTCAATAGTTACTTAAAATAAAATTAAGAAGCTATAATATTATCATATGGGAGTTAGAACTGTCTAAAGTTACAGGAAACTGCATGACACGCAGCAGGAACACAAATTCACTAAGGTACCGTTTTCACAAGAACACACGAATGCACGATTCTTATTCTACCTTCGATAAAATGGCCCAGCCATGAACATAGATATACGTCCCTGTACCGTGCTGCATGAATATTAAACGTGCATGTACATCGTTAGTTGCAACTCCAAAGAACCACTGATTTCTGCGGACTCATTTTTAACAAACAGCCTGCCTCATCATCGTCCAGCCCATGCATGACACATATAGCAGGCAGCATGACGCAAAGCAATAAACTTATTCATACTAATACAATAGGTGCCCTTGAACAAGCCACGTACTTATGCCAATATCGTACATTATGTGGCGTAAATAAATAAATAATAATAAATTTTGCACGTAAATTTGGCGTCTTGGCAGCAGTCACGGTATGGCCTAAGATCAGCTGTTCTCGTCACATAGCCGCCATTTTTGTTTTCGTCGTCAGTGCCAAGTGTTTGACGGCAAGTGGGCCCTGATACATAACATATCGAGAGGCGATGCAGCTGGTGCGACAAACTCCATCAGCGAGCGCTTAGCTGACGGCAAATGGTGGCCATTTCCGATGGATGGATGCTTTGCAAACCGCACTACTGACTGATATAGCGCTGGCTGTGCGCGAAAGTTGACAACTATTTCCAATGTTACCACGACCGCTAATTCAGATGTAGCAGCAACAAATTGCAACAGCCTTGTAACATCTTATCATAGCAGGCAAAATGTCATTGTGGCCCGTTAAAGCCTTATTCCACGTAGACGTTGGTTTCTTATGAATGGGAAAGTGGACGGAAGGGGCTTCGTGCTTTCCCTCCTCACTTATTTCTTACCTAGGCAAGATTTACGAAGGGACAAACCGAAGTCTACAAAGACGCTGGGTGAAATTTATTATTGCAATTTTATAATAATATATATGCGCGTACTTATTTCTAATAGGATCATAGAAGACTTTGAACAAAGGTAGATTGTTAATTTTGGTATTTTTGTTTGGGTGATACCGGCCTATTGTTCATCGTGAGGTATTAACAGTCATCCGGTAGCACATCTTGTGACCTAGTTTTAGCCTAGAATAGTTTCATGGGATCGATTCTCTTGAATCTATCTAGTTAGTCGCAAAAACGATGTCCGTAATGCATAAGTATAATTTTATATTTAAATTCATTATCGTTTTCTCGCGACATAAAAAGCAACTAGCTATGAGACCAAGTGCGCACGGTGCGCTATTTATTTTTTCTTATCAATATTGCTTACCATAATGATCATTATTAATAAATAGCCTTTTCAAACCAAAAGAGGGTAGGTGATATACAGTAGATTTCATGTCGTCTATTTTTTATGCCACAGCCTATGAGTAACCATCAGTATTACAAGAGCCCTTATTGACCAACCTAGGCTATACATTTAGCTAGCACTAGGCCGCTACTTTCATTTCGATTATATTTTGCGTGGAAGTTGAAACAAACCGCCCTCCTTATTACTTTGACAGCCCAGTTGGGCTAGACATTCTAAGATAGAATAAAACTATTAGCCATTTAATGTTGCCCCTCCCAAAGTGAACGGGTCACAGAGATCATTTACAGGCCTGCAACGTTACGCATTGTTTAACTGTTGGTTGTCGCCGTTATAATTTAAAAATTGATAGATCAAGGCGGGCTAGAGCTGCCGATAAGAAATATTACATTGGAACGACCTATACATACATGTGGGAATATTCTAATATGTCGATCCTATAGTGATGAATGTGCTTATTATTATTTCTATTACTGTCGATCATGAGAATATCCTATAGATAAGATGCTATCGTCAACTTGTCCTGCTACAGCGGTTAGCCTATGGCAAGTAAGTCTGTAGGGCAATGATTTCGTATGTGCCTGTCTTCTATTATCGTTCAGGGCAACTGCCGCTTATATTCTTTATAGAACAATCTGGTAACGCACCCTAATAACTGATTCCCTAATAGGCACCGATTATCTTAATTACTGAGGACAAGGGGAACGACTGATCGAAGGGCCAAATTGATATTAGGGTGCTTTTTTCATATATGAAACGCGGGAGCCTTGACTACCATGCTGATGAATGATTTCGTTTTAGAAATAATTTTGATTGAATTTTATGTCTGTGTTTCTCGTAATCAAGCTGCCTGTCAGTGTCAGTCTTCCTAGACGCTTAGACTTGTGTATCAAACCTATTAGAGCCTCGTACGGGTCCACTCGCAGAGATGATGGTTTGACTAGTAATCTCTTTTATTAATGAATGACGTTGAATTGATCTACGACAACGTCGGATACCATCAATGATGCAATTGGTTGTTACCTTCTACTTTTTCGTGTGTAAAAAAAACGAATTCTTGCGACAAATTAACCAAGACGTGATTACTAACGACGCTCGAAATTCAAAGGGTTTCCAGTGGTGACAGTAGTAACCAGAGGTCGCTTCGTGCTATTTTTATTCCCTGCACACTTTATCGTTCAGCATTCGTGACTCGATATTTTTTCTCGTTTAGAAAATATGGTCAGGCCATTAATCGTGTCGAAACGATACTTACTAGCGCTAAATGTAGTCGCATTCTGAATAATAAAAAGTCTGAGATGACCGGGCCACACTTAGGTGATTTAATCTGATGAAAATTAAGATGCATGCGAGGCTCGTTCTTCAGGGCAGCCCAATTGGGTTTTTGCGCATGGATAGAGCAGAAAACTTTCCCGCATAAATGATTTAGTTTATGCTTATAGATTTTAAAATGGACCGACACAAGGAATAGTGAATAGAAAGGTAGTTCTGAAATATCACTGTAAAATTTACTTTGACCGGGTTTATTGTTAATGACTCATAACTGGTGAGCAGGGACTATTAAACAAAAGCTGCAAGAAAATTATCTCTTAGAAATAATGTTTGTTCAAAACGTAACCTGTGTATGATTTCATTAAGGTTTGACACTTTTTTGCCTGACGGTAGGTGGACGTATGGTAGTAGACTTTTGAGCTGAAATATAAATGTTACCTATGATATCCATTGCGGAAGTCATAGTTGGCAAAGTCTTCGCAATTCCGTTGTAGCGTAGCCGATTTGACGCGCCTGCCTCGCCACTGTGAGATCTGTTGCAACAGCTGCCGAACGATTTTATCATACGTGCCCATGATGAGTGTCTCACGTTATCATTCTCGTTATTGTCCGTTGCTAAGCGTTGCAACTGTTTCAATTATACGTATATAATAATATATACACGGGTATTTGCGCCAAGCACATAAAGATTTTTGCTATAAACTGAGACGTTCGGACTAAAGTGAAACATTTCGACACGTTTGATCCGAAGTCTCTGCTACGTTAGCACATTCGTGAAATGAAAATGACGGATTTGTTAAACTTAACTTATAGTACGGCCAATTTACATTTGATATTGTCGAACTCGGTTCTACCATCTATGACACTGCAATGCAATAATATCATCATATTGTAGAATGGAATATTAAAGCGGAACAAATGACCGGTTGCTAGGTTATATCGGAGTGTTGCAGGCGCATGTAGAGCTCTTGAATATCGTGTTATTATTAGCTTTTATTTCTACTCAATGGGGTACTCATGTGTGCAGTTCGCCTTAATGCATAAGGCCATCGTCAACTATAATCCTGTAATGTCGTAAACAACCTTTTTATCGAACTAGGCTCAATTGTCATTTATAAAAATTAATACTGGCGGTAACACTGATAATATAGTGATAAATAATTTTAAGAACTTGCTCTAAAGAGCTCAAGGAGGGCTGCCAATGTTGAACACTTGAAAATATCATATGATATTATAAAACAATATTTAGGAGATTTTTTTCAGTAAATTGCAGATAGCGATAGGTCGTGTTTTTATGCCACATTTTCTGTATGAAATATTACCTAGCATTTCAAACTTTAATAATACCCTTTTTAGTGGGACTGCTCGCTTAAAATCGCCCTAGCTTATTCCCTACATCTAATTTTTAGCCAATCGGGCCGCCTCCATTAACATTTGCGTAACATATATATATATATATATAATAGTAAGTGGTAATGATAAAACCCATAATCTCACTAATCAATATTTGGCGCGCTAAACTTTTCCCTGTCTCCGTTTCAGGTTGGCGTTGTATGTATATGAATATCTACTACACGTGGGGGCGCAGAAGGCGGCGCAGACTTTCCTCTCAGAGGTAAGTTTAATTGATTTCTGCCACACCTTATGTATGCCTGTTACTGCTGAAACAGATCAATTTAGAGTAGTTCGTCTTCTGCATTAAAGCTTAAAAGACTTAATCTATCATAGCTGTTGGATATCTGCTTGCATACAATTGTTTTTAATGTTGGTCAAGTTTTCATTTAATGATTGTAAGATGCTACCTGATCTCTGAGTGCTCCATAGCTAGACAAGAAGCTAACAAGAAGTTGAGGCGTATTTGATTTTTTTCTGGACCGACCCTTGGCCTGGAGCTTTTCACAACTTCCGACTCTGACGTCTCTTTAGGCGCCAATACGAAAGCCTTGGGACGCGTGCGTTCGGCCTCGTTGCAACATTCATTTTAAAAGCATATTCAGGTGACTTTGTCTACTAAGCACGTTAGTAGGCCATAATAGGCTCTATTTTGTTGACGAGATCAGTTACAAAGCTACACCACTGGAGCATGTAAATTAAATAAGTTCTTGCGTTATCCACTTCATGACTCGAAGAAACACCTCGTTCTAGCACAGCATCACAAGAGCTTGAAGTCGAACTCAATGAACGACCAGAGAAATGTCTTTTGTTGCACAAGGCCCATATTACGATGTAAAGTGAACGAGAATTCATTGTCGCCTTGCGCTTATTTGATAATCGAGTATTTCCTTGAGGCTGTTTGATGTTGAAGGGCTGTGCAGCCTATGCGCTGTGGTTCTTCAATTCAAGCACGATGACAAGCGAGCAGCGTTGATAAGCGCTTGTTCGGCGAACAGTTGTTCTCTTCGGGATCATGACCGGTCCCTGATGAGCCTGCCTCAGCCGTTACCTCACTCATAGGCAGGAAGTAGTTTATGCCATTTGTATATAAAAATGATATCTGTTCGAAGCCTGCTGAAAGAGCCAATTGACACTTATCATCTTTGGGCTACAAGATTGAAGATCAGAATCGCTTTGGATGAGAAAAGAAACCGAGTAGTACAGGCGAATTATGTTGAAGAGGGATCGTCAGAAGGTGCATACGAGACCAGCTATATATATGTATATCTAGTCGGTATAAGGATGGGCCGTTACGGTGAAAGCCGAAGGACGGTCGGAGCTTGTGCTGCTGAGCTGAGTTTCATTTTACGCGTCTAATCGATAATAAGCAACTATGTACTTTCGTCTCTTCGTTTAAATAATACGCATATAGAACAACAAAGCAATAACTAAAATAAAGATTTCCTCTCTGTAGGTAAAATATTGTATTGTAACGTAAACACTGAGCGGACATGGGACAGATTCATGCAGTTACTCAAAAGCCCTTATGTGTATTTTTTAAGAAACACAAGGGAAAAATAGAATACTGCGGATGACACGGGAGGAAGCAGGCGTACAGCATGCTAGGTAGTGTCGATTTGCGAAACGACCAGAAATAATATATTCACGTTGGTAAATGACGTTTATTCCTGTTAGTAAGTTAGGCTGGATAGACGCTGTGTCCGTTGGACGGTTTACTGATACCAATGGGGAAATATACTTACTTGTGCGGAGCAAATAGGTCCAAATAGGAAGGAACCTGCTTTTCGTGTCGGATGAAAGCTGCAGCGTCTGCACCTGAGTGTAGTTAGAGTTACTTCTGAGAACAATTCAATGCTGTCTAATAGTTAAGTCATGTACGCTTATTTCAAGATATAGTTTAGTTTAGTGTGTCTTTCCTGATTGGGCCTAGAGACGTGTGAGCCGATCAATTTGCGTTATATGTTCCTCTATTAACTACTCTATTGCTCAATTGTTTTAAGACTAGTATCTTGAATACCATAGCTACCTACGTTCGAATGTAACGTATCCTCTAGCCAAAAAGAAGACCGATGAGTGTGTCAGAGTGGATTGCTAGCTCGGCTGCCTGAAACTCTGGTTTCTCAACATCGACGAATAAGAATGTACGCTGCCTGGAACAGCAGTAAATTGGTTTTACCTCCCGTCGGGGCAACTATAGACACCACAGCGAGATAAATGGATAAATTTTTATCGGAAAGTGGTGACAAAGTATGCTCACAGGTTTATTGTTGTCGATCGTTTTGAAATCGATGTGTATTGTTAATCTTAACTAAAACGCAGGCCTTGATTTTGTATTGAGGCCCATCCCAACAAGATTTCAGGACGTACTCATATAGGACGTGGAAAGAATTTGACAACGATTGAAATTGGGATATGTTCCTATAAATAAATAAACATTTGTCAGTATGTACAAATCAAAAAGCCTGCTCATTGCCTGAGAAGAAATTGACCAACAAGTTCTGTTATTTGGTGAAGGCTTTGGCACCAACTCTAGAGATCTGCTATACATTCATTCAGCAACGTATGCGTCCTTCTTCATACACACTAGAATGGCAAACTGCAAGGAGATAAGGTACATAATTATTCTTATTGTCTCTTAATCTCGTACGTAATTCGGTAACAATTAAAGTACGAAAGCAAGCGGTTGTTGTCATTTGCCGTAATTTTGGAAAGCAAAAACCTAACTTGAATCTTAAAACAAACGACTACAGAAAATGAATATCAGAATCTCCTACCAGTTTACTGCACAATAAGCAGAGACAAGTAATGACAAATGATCATCTGAGTTCGGTTCCGGACGTACCATTTATCCGAATTTATTATTGAAATCCCGTTAGAAGCCACTTTCTGTAAACACGTCAGGCAGCTATAACATGTGATAAAAAACATTTCCGTCATAGCTACAAACAGATGAATTTAGACCCCGTAATGTTTTGTCCTGTCACATTTACATAAGGCTCTATTCGTGCTTATACAGAGATCGCATAGTTTCTATGTCTGAATAAAACTGACCGTCCGAAATTGCTGCTGCAATTCATTTACGGGATTTAAATTGGGATTCTGTTTATGGGATGCAAACGTTAAAAAGTTTTCAAGGAATTGATATTAACCTGCAAATTTGATAAAACTCCGAGAGGAATAATTTATAAATTCGCTAAGCGGCTTATACATAACTGCAATGTATACATGGGTAATGCTTGATGTCAAGCTATTACAAAACTGCAGGCCGATCCTTCGCTGAACTTGGCTCTATTCAAGTTGAATCAACTTTCGATTTTAAAAGTAAAAGAGGACCTCATCGTTATTAAGTGGAAGTGGCATGCGATTATTTCAAAAATTTTCAATAATGCCACTTAGCATCGATAATTAGTCGTTTCCTAACGCGTAAACTGTAAAAGTTATATCGTGCGCGTTAATGGTAACGGTACATAGATTGATGAAGGTCCTGAAAAAAGCAGGCCGAAATATCCCGCCTCGATTTTTGTTACCTGTCTATTGAAAAGTAGACTTTTTTGCTTTTTAAATGACTAACACAATGGCAATAATAGTCTTTTATACTCTCTAAAATGATTTTTCTATAAATAAAAAAAATGCTAGCGAACTTACTGGTGCAGATGTAAGCTTTAGCTTTTCTGCTGCAATTCGTAGATGGCTTTGTGTCGTCGAATGGCCTCGAAGATATTTTGAGAAGTTGTATTTTTAAGCAAGCCGAAATTAGGGAACTGTTTGAATCTATCGGACAGCCATAAGCTTAGGATGATTCGCTTGCTTTTATAAAATGGCGAAGGCACATTCAGCTGTAGGATGTCGTCGGTCTACAATCGATGTATGAACCTAAACTTCAGCCATAGTTCTGCGCATCGCTTTCTACTACACATGTATATGGCGCGCTTTCCCATACACTAGCGGAGCATCGTACAGTCAAACAACTAATAGGGGAAGTTCCTTCTCTACTTCTTTTGTGAGTACGGTAGCGATATGTTTCTGGGAAATAAAGGCATGTTCCAAATTTCGTGTCCTAAACTGCATCCGTGTTGCACCAAAGTTCATGTTTAGGTTTGCTTAACCTTATCCTCAATTATGATCCTAAGCTCTCGTACGACCGAATTTACTTCTAAACGTTCGTTTTCCTCTGTTTTCCATTTTCATATTCTTAATGCATTATCAATTGTACCTATTTGGGTATACTTTCTTTGCTCATCATTGTTTGTTTTACTTTAATCCCCCTACAGCAGTTGCTTAGGTGAGCACGGACAATGCGGCGCGACATGCCCATTGGCCTGATCTAATCTCTCGTAGCTCCCGTTAAATTCTGGTGAACTAGATGTTGGCAGCTTATCGCTCTCAGAAATATTGTCTCATACACTAGTTTCACTTTTAGCACACTGGAAACAATCTCAGTTGTTGTTATTATTAGCTATATTCTCTCCGGCTTCTGCTGCCAGGCCCACCGCCCCTACTCCTGGTGCTGTCCAACGACGAATATCTGGACGGTAGAACTTACCGTGTCGAAACGAGTTTGTCAGCAGAAGCTATCTGACGATGACTACACCGACAGCGGAATAATAATAACAATTTTAAATCATTCAGCCTGTGATACCGACTACATATCGATGCTACCCGTGTTGAACTACAGAGTAGGGGGAGCACACAACGTCTCCGCCAGCCTTACCGTACCGCCACTACCAAACTAACCCTGCTTCCGTCACTAGGCAAAAATGATAGTGGTATTAAGAGTGACCTATTTCTGGCCTCAGCGTGAGCTCTCGGTGGCGATGGCGCCATCAGCGTTGGCTCAGGCTGCCCACAGCTGTTCAGGAAAAAGCAGAGATTGACACAGGGTCGAGTCGATCTTGCGGCCCGTTGAATAATCGGTGCTGACTGACATATTGGTTTATTAGAAGTACTTGACTTGGCCAAGCATATAAAGAAACATCGATGAAAATAGGGAGATTACTACTAGTGCAGAAACAGTGTTAGTGATTTCTCCTTCCGAAACAGATTTGCCTTTATTCATTATATATATATATATATATATATATATATATATATATATATATATAACTTCTTTTATTTAGACATTGGAATCACTGAACAAAAAGAAGCGGATGTGACGCTTTGTAGTAAAAAGATGTTACGTCCACGCCTTGTGCCGCGAAGCGTCACTTTAGACAGTTAGCTTGTTCCAGCACGAGACGTATAGCGTCTACGCTTGGTTTTGCACCTAGACCACCATGTGACTTTAGATTAAGTAGGCAAACACATTACCCACTGCGTTGTCAGACAGACAAGATGCATTGAAGCAGAGGACACGCAATAGCTACGCTCTTGGTGTCAAATCGACCTGCCTTGATTCCATAGCTCCGTGTAGCCTAAAATTTGGGACAGTTCCATCACCGCTGCAGACTCAGATAAAATCCAATTACACACATTGCAGTCTTTGGTGTCTGGCTTTAAGCAAAGGGGGTCATAACTATGAAGGATCCTTTTTAGTCGCATCCAGGGCCTACTGAAGGTTGTACTGTTTCTTGCGAACCCTTGTACCCATATGTACTCAGGTGTAGTCGCTTTTTTGCGATTGTTGGCGTCATAGGCGCTGTTGACTTTGTAGGGGTTGGTACGACATTGTAGTTCGTGCTCTACTACAACCACGTGTTTTGATAGCCCCAGTTCAAGCTGGAAAAACGTCACCCAAGATGGCATACTGCCAAACAGTGGTCACGCCTAGTTCTAACCTAAGTTTTAAACGCCATATGTCGATACGTATGGATGAGGTCGAATTATATCTATCAATCGAAGTGGTTGTCTAGTACGCCGCAATAATATGAGTACAAAACCAAACTCAGATATCGACAATCGTATGCGCATCTACGTACATGCATGGATATGCAAACCTATTTGGCACCCGGACCAAATGCAGTTTGAGAAATCTTCGAATCTCTCAGATGAATAAGTCCATGTTTACAAAGGAAGTTGCACAACTTAATAAATAAGCGTCACATCGATTTTAATCGGCGAATATATATATATATATAGATATACACTTAATTATAAATAATATACGTGTGTATTTAAATAGAACAGTGTAAGTTGTTTCCCATTAGCGATGAAAATAAAAACATATAGTTTATACCCACTTTATTTTACTCTTGGGGCAAGCGTCGTGTCAGCTGGCAATGTCTTAGAAATCGTTAAGTAAATCGTTGGTCAGCTTTTTTTTTCGGTTATTTGTACTTGATTTAATATTCTAATATTCAAAATTGCAGAATGGAATTGGCTGACGCTGCTGAATGTAAGCGGCTGTCGTTTTGCTGGCAGTGTTGTTTACAGATTCATAGAATCATACTACTGATTAAGCACGTGCTAACAGCTTGAGTGCTTTTCTTCTTTTCTCGATTCTAGATCCGATGGGAAAAGAATATAACGTTAGGAGAACCACCGGGATTCCTTCATTCGTGGTGGTGGTAAGTATCAACGGCGATAATTATTCATAAGAATAATGTATTGCATGGCAAATGTTGATATTGGAAGTAACTGGGTTAGAGGGGTGTAAGCATATACCCAAGTGCGTCAGTTTTGTTAAGTGTGCCTTTGTGCTTAATTTCAATCGATTTTTATTAGTGGCGTTCAATTGTCTACCGCTACGGAACGGCAGCGGCGAGAGGTCATAACGTGGTGCATTAGTGCCGGATCGGGAAACAAAGAAACGGGGTATTTCGTGTCAGATATGTTTTTAATCCACGCCTGAAGCCGAATCGGGCGACGAACGCGCATCCGGTTGACCTTGACCACAGCGGAAGCAAGCGTCAAAAGTTCCACCTCAAACGCTGACTCAGTCAGAAAGTACAACCCGACTTGCTTCTTTGTTCCATAGGTTTATAAATAGTGTAGTATTTTGTAGCTACAAGTATAAAAATCTTGGCGAGAGATGTCAGAGATATTCGTGAAGTAGTCGTCTCGTAGCTACGTGCCTGCTAATTGGATTCGTTGAGCGTGACTCCTTCCATGTGATCATATTGATTGTATCCGCAAAAACTACAAGGATGACAAAAAAAAAAGCATAGCTATATTAAGAAGCTTGTGTTGTCGATTTAAGTTTCATGATTTGAACCCTTTTTTGTAGGATAGACACGATCATACCGCGGGCGAGAACTAATTTCGTCATTGTTCGGTGTGCGTGATAGAATATGTCTGTCTGTACAGTATTATCTAACTACTCGGCACGCTATGCAGCTTGTTGCGAGCTGGGTTTGTGGCTTGCAACGGTCGGTAGCGTGATTCGAGTTTTCCAAAACCGTCGTTTTTATTTTACAAACAACTGCAAATCGAAGCCAGGCAAGATCTTGTTGGATTCAGATCAGTTATTATTATAATTACGGATTGTATAAACCTATGTGCACACTAAGACAACTGTCGTTGTTGTTTCGTTAACTTACGTGCCAAACAATATGTCAGCTAGTAACGGCTATGGTGACTGGATTAAGGCTGTGTTGCTTTCCCCGTACTCTTTCATTCTTTTAAGAAAAAAGCGCATGTTACAATTGATGAACGTTGGTCACGAACGTACCGATCATGTTAAAATTCTGCTAAATGGACATTATCTCGTAGGGTACAATATTGCTTGAGCTGGTGTCTGAACTGAATCTGGTGATAACCGCATAGCTACTAGTAACTGAAATATACGTTAGCGAGTTATGGACTCGTGCCTTTTATAAGCTGTGCAGCTGTGACGACTGAGCACAAAACAAAGAAATTTATTGTGTCAGGAGAAATGATTATTGACGATTTCTTCTTCTTCTATGTCACGCTCGATCGAAAAGTTAACGATCACTAGTGCAGCATTTCTTTTTTTTTACTTTTTTTTTTTTGTATCTTTATTAGCGACTCGAGCGGTGAGGGGGGACAGCAATGCTCGAATGGATTGTGTATGAGTAGAAATAAATCCCCTTGATCCCCTCAACGCAGCAGCAAGTGGAATCATATTCCGTGCAATGGATGACCAGTGCGTTGTCGTTACGTGCACCATCTAAACGACCAGCGTACTCCAATGCAAAATTGAGCGGCACTTCGCTCTGTGACGTATAGGCGCTTTTTTGTTGGGTTATCTTTTGTTGTTTCAGCTTAACCACACCTTTGATATAGTCTATTCATGCACATACGTATTTAACTAAATTTCATCAGACAGATAGCGCTGCTGGCGAATCAGAAAGAGAACAACCGGCCTAGAGACATGACAGGAAGGCAGGCAGGCGATATGTACGTATACTTTGTATATAGTGACGCGTAGACGAAAAAAAGAGACATCAAAAAACCAACAGTCGATATAGAGATGATTGTTGCAGCAGAAATCGACTTACAACAAAATTAGGTTTTCTGCTTTTTCTTCTTCTTACCGTCTTATTACCTGAAAAGCAAACGTGAATCTACTATGTAACGTATGTTTGATTAATTTCGCTAGGGCTGATGTACAGCTGAGGTAACCATGTTAGACTACTCGTAAGGACTGGTTACTGTCAGAGATCGTTTAATGTATGCGGCAAGTAAAAAGAACTTGTTTTCTAGCGTTATTATTTTTACACCGGATAGATTTGACAGAATCGCAGATAGAGTATCAGACTAACCAGTAATAAACAAACCTAGCGTAAACTCCAAAATACAGATTTATTAGCGTCTGCTGAACCTATTTCTGGCAGTATCATCCCCTGAGCACAGATTGTTATTTATTTAGCAACACTATAAGCCTTATATATGCGCACCGTCTCTAAGTATGTACAAAGAAAAACGTCGGTTACACTTGTAGCCCTAACCCTACGCCCAGACATTGCGGAAAACACGACACTGATACGGTTAAATGTACGATACGTCTACATTTTTGGTGTGGCCATGACTTTCCGTTGCTGGGGCGCTTCTTTCGAATCTGCCCTTCCCTCACCTCCTGATATTTTTTTTTGTCTATAAGTAAGTATATCATCGCTATCACCACTTCATAGTATAATATGAAAACTGCAGCAGCAGCCGACGCATTCTTCTGTGTTTACTTGTTGAATATCTGTTTGTCGTTTGTCGTGTCCTTCTAATATTTGATGCCTAGGGCGTTTTCACAGCAGACAGCCAAGAGAAGTTTCCAGCTGAGAACTTGCAACCTTTTGCCATAGGCGGCCATTTCAGGACCTACAAATAGTCCCGATCCACTTTTCTTTTCAACTAGCTTTCGAGGTGACAGCTAATATAGTTGCGTTATTAAACAACAAAAAGATTACCTATTTTGCGTAAGTAGCTAGTATTCATTTAGCAAGCGTTTATCAAACGAGTAACATTTGACGTTGACTATTTACTTTGGTGCCAATTGAGCTACTGACCACCAGCTCAAGTATAAAAAAACAACGCTGTCAGCGGACTCCTTAACAGCAGGCAACACATCATATAAGAATATGGAACAATAAACAAGCGCACCAACAACAATACAATATGCGAAGACTGGTACTAGCAATAGCCACGGTACCGGTAACCACCGCCCTAGCGGCAACGCCGGCGTTCAGGGTTCGCTGAACTTTTCACAGACAACGGTGCTGTCTCTTGGCATAGCAGCGACGCTGACGGTCGCCCGCTCGTTGAAACGTCTTTGAAATGTTTGCTGGAGTTGCTTGTTGTCCGGCGTCGATCACGTCGCACAGGCCGTCGTTGTTGTGAAATCTCTGGCCACGAACAGCACAACGTTGCATAGACAATATACGAAGAATAGATAAACACGATATCGATTACGTTCGCCGGTACGTTCACGCAGCGTAGAGGCGATAACAGCGTATGAGTGAGCATCGTAAGTGGACGTACACGAAAAATGGCTTGAATTGAAAAAAACGATCAATCGTGTGTTCTTATATATATATTGCGTTTCTTGTTAGTGATGATCTTATTCTTAGAGTACTATTGTTATTAGTAACGTATTGTTTTGATGACTTAATTCATGAATTTGAATATGTGTCGAGTTTTTCTATTGTGGATCTAGATATAGCGAGCACCCTATATTTTTTTTTTTTTTTAGAATAATCGAAGAATAGCAAAGCGCATCTTATTTACTACAGCTACCATGCTGCTGGGGTAGAAAAATTGACGTAGAAACATTTTGATAAAAGCTAAGGTTTGTTATCGTCGCTTCAATCCTAATTGGGCACGAGCATTTTTCTCGGGTCAAACTTTCGCAGACGGATGTCAGGGGTAATCTATTAAGTTTGATTTACGCGACTTCGAGTCAGATCTTCCAGCTGTCAGTTTTTTCCTTTCAGAGGTGACTTCGTACCCTAATATCCGTGGCGGTGTCGTTTATACTTGAGATGGCGGGAGCGTCCCACTGCGAAGCTTCTGCTGTTCCCGCTGTCGTTTCTGCCGCTGCTGCGGCCTTGTTGAATACAAACATTTTGATGAACGACAAAGTGGTGTCACAAGTAACGGATGACTTTATCTATGCTCATGTTCCGTAGACGTAAAGATCGTATTAATTCTTTTTCAGATACAGTAAGAAAGTTCAAGTACTATGAAAATCATCCTAAATAAGTTGCAGGGACTCCAGAAATTCGCTGTGGATTTATAAAAAGTCCAAAATGGTGTTGAAATAATAATCTTCTTTGAGTCACGTTGCCTGTAGGTACACTGTTATGCAACCTTGACAGTTAGAACTCAGGCAGTGAATCGAACAGGTTCTTAAAAAGTCTTAATGTCCAAAGTGGTAACCATTTACTCAATCAAGCGTCAGTGCGTAACTTTACCATAGTTCAACCATTCGTAGCAAGAAAATCGTTAATACGATTATTTACACGCAAAAGCGGGTAATCCAATCAGTCACGGTCAGCTACGTCAGTGGTGCCTGACAACGAACATACATTAACCTAAACTAACATCTGTAGCAACAGATTACCCTTTGGGTATGCCTAGTTCTAAAGTCATTGTCTCGATTATTATTCTGAGTTTTCTCTCTGAGTTCTGATTATTAGTATTCTGAGTGTATGTGCCCGGTCCTCTGCTTAACTAGCCTCGACGAATTTAGTCGGGTGAGTCGCTTTTATAAAAAAAAAGATATAGATTTCCCGTCCACTTCCGCTGTATGGCATAAACTAGCCTCTGACATCCATATATACAAACATGCACCCGACGTGTGTTTTGCTTTGGAATCGGAAGTTTCATGACAGACGGCAAGCAACGGCAGTACTCACAGGTTGACACGCATACTGCAATAGTAGAGTTTTTATTTGAGTTTTGCCCTCTGCTAAAATGCTGTCACAAACGCTGGGCCCGAGGGATTGTTCCAACCTCAGTCTGATGATCAGCTACGTACCAGGAAAGATGTCTTTCAGCTTTCAACTGCCCAAGTTCAAGTTATAGGAGATTCACTGCCGTGTACTTCAACTATATAATCTCTATAATCTCTCTATGCCGGCCAAATGCGACATGTAACAACCTACCGCACCCT